GAAAGACTGGAAAGTGAAAACCTCAAACTCCCCTTTTTGGCTGCTGTCAACTCACTCTTACAAGAATCAAATCATGAGTTAAAGAAAATCTTCCTACCACTTCAACAACTCACAAACACAGAACTGGATCTTGTCCACTGGTCCTGGTCACATGACAAGGGAAGGGAAACAAGCAGCCATTGAAAGAGACATAAGATTTCAATTCCTATTATAGAAGTCCCTCAAAGCTCCCAATTTAAAATATTAAAAAAAACAACTTTTTGAAATAAGATTCTGATCTTTTTTATCAAGCACTGTTGCTTGACTGAGCCAGTACTACTGCTGTTTCTTTATTACGTTCCCCTCATATTTTATACCAAAACCAGTTGCCCTGAGCATGTAACAGAAATAATCAGGAGACAAGAACAAGTAGCTGGCTATGTTGCAGACCAGTTCTCGGCACCAGTTATAAGAGAAAGGATTACATCAGTTGCATATCAACTGATGGTTTTGTAGGGTAGAAAAAAACCCCACACATCTATAAATATAAACACACACTTATTTTTATTTTTTATGTAAGTCTAGATAAAGTTGTAAGACAGTTACTGACCTACAGTAAAGAAAGGAGGGAAAAATACTTTAAAATAAATGCCACATTTTCCTTGTTAAAGTAAGTGTTCCATTATCAGGGAATGGGCCAAACCAGGACAAAATGGCTCAAAATAAAATGTTGCTCATCATCTAAGAAGTCATCCAGTTCTCAGTTCTTGTTATAATATCATTTGAAACCTACTCAATAATTTCAAAATTTACTCAATTACAAAACTAAGTTAAAATGGTTTGTAGTTTTACACCTGCCAGAGTCCCTTCCCAAATTTTATATTTAAAAAAAAAATCACATCTTTATAGCCTCTATTTCTTTTCCCACTTCCTGTTCCTAACTGTCTATGCATTAAATACTGTCAAAAGCACATAGTAAAACATTTAAAAATAAATTTTCATTTCTAATTTTTCACCCATAGTACTTTTAGGTAAAAATATCCAGACAGAGGTGCAATATTTAAAATTGACAATGTCCCTTCAGAAGAAATTATCATCTATTCTCTGCCGAGTATGTATATGTATAATAGGCATGTTCCATTTCCTATGCCAATAGCCCCTCTCTTTTATACTGAAAGTAGTTCAGCTTGAGCACTTCCCCAAAATTCAAGCCCAGCAAGGTAGTCTTTCAAGCTGAAAAATCTGATGCCATTCAGGGCTTTTTAGATTGCTACCAGTACTGTAAACTACCTACTGAACCCAAAGGCAGTCAGTGCAGACCATGAACCACTGGCTGAAATTGCACATAGAAGTATGTTGGCTCAACAGGTTCCCAGATTCTGCATTAGCTCTCACTTCATGTTGCCCCAAGTATGTCATATTACAGTAAGCCAGTCAAGAAGAAAGACAAGCATGGATTATAAGTGTCAAGGTCCATTTTGAAAAGAAAAAATTATATAGTCTAAAAGTAGACAAGAATGGAAAAAGGCCAATATGGCTGGCTATCACTGAAAAATGGTCACCCAAAAGGTATCTGCACAGCCTCTGCCAATGCAAACATACGCTAGGCAGAGCAGATGCGTGTCCTTAATTGGTAGGATAGATTACTTTTACCATATCTCACAGCTGCTTTCATACAGAGACATTAAAGCCTACAGAGACTATTATCATCTCAACCCAGCTCTTCCATCTTACTTAAGTTGGGCTTCAATCAATCAGTTCTCTCTGGCCTAGGAGATGAAATAATAGACATAATACAGCTGAATGTAAGACATTCATCTTCAATCTGAATCACAGGTGAAAAAATCTACAGCTAGATATCATCAGTATACTAAAAACACTATAACTCATGCTTCCTTGCTGAACTTCCTAGTGGCTTGGTGTAGGCCATTTGAGGAATGCAAAATGGAACCTTGGAGGCCACAGGAGAACACCCTCAGGGTGAAACAATACTTTCTCTACACTCCACTCCCTGAGCTCTTGGATAAGTAAACACCAATTTTCACAATCCGCCACAGGAATGTTAATGCCCCTTTGTGTTCAATGATAGTGAAGGGAGCAATAGGTCTAACACCACCAAAACAATCTTCATCTGGTGGTAGAAGTGCATGCACAACACATCAAAGCCAGCCTTTGTACCACACTGGCTCTCTACCCAAACTGGCAAGTCAGGGAAATCTTAAGTATAAGAAATTGAGAGTGCCATCTACCCACAACTTTTTCAATTATTTTTTAGTGTTAAGAGGCTATTCAACTTAGGTAGTAATGGGCAAGATTTTCAATGCTGGGGGAAAGAAGGTTGTTATTAGGTTTTTTTTTTTAAGTATATTTAATGTCTGTGCCTCTTTAGATTAAATGTAATGTATCCTCAGGTGTCAATTATATCAGGAATTTCCACAAACATTAAAGTAGTAAAATGGAAAACTGCAGTCCAAAGGAGGCAAAGTGACTCCAGAGCTTCCAACCCCTCCATCACCACCAATTTCTCTTTCCATCCATGTTTGCCATATTATCACCTCTGTACTGCAAACGTAAGGACGTAGAATTCAGTGTTCTCATCAAAAGGATAGGCTGTGGTTTTGCCATAACAGTTGTTTGTGATATATGATTTGACTATGCTCACTTGCTCCTAATGTATTATACCAATTCACTGTCACTTACCCGATTTGCCATCTCACTGTTTTGCACTACTCTCTCCACTCTCCTATTTTCCTAGCTCACTGGCCTTTCTACGGTTTTTTTCATCCCTGCTAGCGCCAATAGATTTCCCTCTCTCCTTTCCCATCATAAACCTCTACTACAATTTCCATAAGTTCTGCCCCTCCATTATGTCCTTCATAGCCTTCTTTAATGAAATAGCAGTACTTTCGGTCAAAAAGCACTCCCTTTTGCCTGCAGTTCAATTCAGACTGCAAGGTCTGTGGGGTAAAAACACATCTGTGCTACTACACATGTATATGGCACTATAGAAATCAAACACACTTGTGACGTATGCACTCAAAGGGGTATACTTTTATATGTCAAAAGATATGTTCAAAGACAGGCACAATTAGATCCACAATATGGCTATTATTTATGTATTCTTTTAAGGACTGATTTTTTTTATACAAGAGATCAAGGTTTTCCATTTAAAATGAACATCATGAAACAAAATGAATTTTAGATACCTGCAAAGGTAGTGAAAGGTAGTGAAAAGATCCATTCTTCCCTCTGTATTTGCTGTATATACCTGAAATCTTTTTCCAGTACTCTTTCCTGCCATGGCAGGGCGAACTTGATGATCTGCTCAGGTCCTTTCCGACCCTACAAACTATGAAACTATGAAATGATGTGGTTCACTGGGGTAGCATATGCTATCAAGTAACTTCTTCTAATTCAAGTTCTAACTATGATGATTTGCTATCACCCTGCCAAACATGCAGGGTTCAATTTCTTCTGTGAATCCAGTCCTTATTTTTCCCAAATGCTTTTTCAGCTAGGTAAATATAACAACACTGCAATACTGTTATAGGCTTTAAAACCCAACTTTTCCAGTGCTCAAACTGTTTAACACACATTTTGCAAAACATATAAGCTTCATGCACATGAAGTCAACTGGCAGGTTATCTAATGAATGATACACTGGATTAACATTTAATATTCCACTTTCTACTGCTTGAGATGCTGACAAGGAAGTTTTAAGTAATTTTGACATTGACAAAAATATGAAGTATTCCAGACATTCTTTCATATCTGTCATACCAGCTTAGTGTCATAGTTGTACATCCCCTATGGTAAGTTTCTGAATACTAACTTGTATTGTACATATAACATCGCTTCTTATTTTGCAAGTGTGGTCAAAACACACATCAGTGACAAGTGAAACAAGTATTATACTTCTTGCATTAAAAAAAAATCAGTACAAAATAAACACACATACCTTTCAACTGGTCGGCTACCACACTCTGGCCAACTCGTTCAATCACCTTTCCATCCTCCATCTCATAACGGTCATCCAAATATTTTGCAGTAGCTTCTGAAATATGGACTTTTCCAGCAACCCCCAGCTGCTCCATTAAATTGGCCAAGTTGACATCGTTGGACCACACATCAAACTTAAACCTCCTCATCCCCAAAATACCACACAGAACTGTCCCAGTGTGAACACCAACTCTCATGTTCACCATTTCTTTTTTCTCTTGGCAAAACTGTTCAATGGCTTTAATCATACCCAAACCCATCTCAATGCAGCAATAGGCATGATCTGCTCGGGGCTCTGGACATCCGGCTACACAGTAGTAACAGTCTCCCAAAGTACTTATCTTCTCACATTTTGTATCCTCACACAAACGGTCAAAGCGGCCAAATAGGTCGTTCAAAAGCCCCACCAGAGCATGGGCAGATTTGTTTGCACTCATTTTAGTGAAGCCAACAATATCTGCAAACAAAATACTCACTTGCTCTATCTGCTGCATTTTAAAAGGACGGAAAATAATGGGAGTTTTCTGTATGGAAGGTTTTTTCTTTCTGCTTTTGGGACTTGAGGTGGAATGACGTTTAACGGAGTTCTCACTTTCATCATCCCCCTGTTTCATTAAGTCATCAGCTATTATCCTTGGCATTACAGAATGAATCATCCTCTCTTTCAGGGCTTTCTCTACTTCCAAGTCTTTTCCATGCATGATCGACTGCCCCACTTTCAGGAATGTGCTCCTTGATCTGACTTCAGACATGATAAATAAATGAATGCCAATAGCATGAATGCAAATGTGAAGCAAGGTTTTACTCATCAACTGCTCCCAATAAGCTGCATTGGCTTCAATGGGCGTAAAATTATATTCAACACGGAAATGATAACCAAAGGTTTCAAAAAGGACTGAGTACAACAACCCAAGGAACAAGCTTAAATACAAGGGTAAGTGCATCACTGTGTAGAGCAACAAGAGCACTTCAATACACATAGAAAAACTGCCTACTTGAGAAAGAGAAGCATCTGCCGCTCTTACAAGAGAAGTATGATTGGACACGTCATCTCTCCCTGAGAGAGTTGTCAGAGCTTGAAACTGAGGAGCCAGAGTCAAAGTAAAAACCAAGAGAGTGAGGATCAGTGAGGTCCAAACATAATGGCGAGCATAAGTCTGAGTGAAGGTGAACATAAAAAATGCTATGCAGACCAAAAGGAAACCCAGAGCTGGCACTGTGAAGACCATTAATTTCTCTTGCATGTGGATGCTGAAATAGATACCCCAGACCAGGCAGGCCACCCCAATGTAGAAGAGGGCATAGCGAAACCGGCGCTGTGTCTGGGGGAAGCACCTCTCCATACAAGCCTCCTCCAGGTTGTTGGAGTCGAACTTGGGGTTCCACCACTTGGACGAGGCCCTCTCAAAGAGCTGAGGCACCTTCTTCTGCCTGCGGAGGCCAGAGCCACCGCTTGCCCCTCCTCCAGCTGCCCGGCGGGGGCCTGCCGACTCCCCGGAGCTGCTGCAGCTGGAGGAGATGCTGTACTTGCAGTGCTTGGCAGAGATGCAGCCCTGGTGCTGCTTCGGGTTGATTCTGACCGTCACGCTGTTGCTGTCTCCGCTGGGGTCGCAGCTCACCTCGGTGCTGTGGTGATGCAGCAGCTGCTGGTGCGGCGGGGAAGCCATGTTGTCAGCTCCTCCCGAAGCGCGGGGGGGGGCCTAGGGGGTGTTGTCTCTCCAAAGCGCACTCGGGATCGAGATCGGGATCCCTCAACTTCCTGCGGCGCGGCGGCTCCTCGGGGCCTGGCGTCTCGCCTCC